CATGTGGGACCGACAAAATCAGTTATATTTTCATGACTTAGATGCGACATCAATGTTGACTAGTCAACCTGGATGTCACACGGGGCAAACTGTACGGTGTCGAAAGTTTAGGGTTGTGTACCAACCCATTTTGGAGTTGGGGGCTATAAATCCTATATACTTAAGAAGTTCATTCCCACTATCCCAATTATCTTGACATGCAACCTATCCACCTCGTCACACATGCCCCACACGTCACCTTCTATTTTTTTCACATGCAACCATCCCACCTCGCTGCATGTGCCGCATCAGCAGCCCGTTCAATGAATGACTATTTGCAACAAACAACTGAAGAGTCAAGCTTTAGACTGCAATTGTTGTACAAGGTCGTAGTTTTATACGACGTATATGGCTTGGTCAACTTTTTTTTTACGTCTCATGGCTTGGCCGTTGGCTATATCCCATGTAGCTTTTTTTGTGAGACGTTGTAGCCCATGCAACTAATGCAATTATTTGGTCCTAGTGTTGCCCCGTGTAATTAACGAGTAGGTACCCCTAAAAAAACGAGTATGTCGGCCGGCTCATCTTCCCTGGTGCGAGTCTCATCGCCGCTGCTCTCTCTTCCGCATGCCACGGTCTCCACTCATGGGCATGGAACCGCAGTCACAAACGCATGAGGCATTCAGCGCCATCATTATCTCACCCTTATTACCCTGCAGAATACAATATATAATTAACCTTCTTCATGTCAACTCCCCATCTTCTCTGCAGCAATTAACCTTCCATAGTTCCACCTCCACCAATTCCCCCTCTCCCTCTTCACTTTTTCCCCAAATCTTACTCCTGAACCTGCCATTGCAGGAGTAACAGATGTAGCTGCTCCCTTATTTAGTGTCGACAGCTTGACGGTTCAAGAAGGTGCCTAAAAGGAGTAGGTATGGATTCCAGGTGACTGATTTTTACTACTACTGTGTACGATCTATCGGTCGCCTTCTCCATGTAGCAGGGAGGAGACTGAAGGGTGGGATTTTGTTTTACGACCCTAACACAAACATAACATATTTGTTTTTTTTACAACAGATCTTCTTGCATTATCCTTGGGAGATCATGGATGGACAAAGATGCCAGTGAGCAACTTCCGGAATGCAAAGGAAGAGCAAGCCAACAATCCAAAGAGGGCTAATGGCAAGGAACCAATTGAACAGGTTCCATGAATTTACCATATATACTAGCTTAATTTGTCCTCTTTTGTCTAGAGTTAGACCATTGGGTTACCTTGCTGAACCCTTCTATTTATAAGATTGAGAAAAATTGATCATCATCACATATTATAATCCCTTGACTAACCCTCTTTGCTGCTGCTGAGAACCACCTCAGGAATTTGCAAATCAACGAAGGTTAGGAAGGTTCATGGAGTCTCCTGAAATCTTTAGTTCAACGGTATTATATCTATTGATTTAATCATTTGACCATTCTATTAAAACTTCGTTGTAGTTAGTAATAACAAGTCCATTAGTTTATGAAGTGGTTCATATTTTGCAATTTTTGAACAGGAGTTAAATTAGTTTATGAACCGTACCAACCCTCTTTGCTGTTGTTGACAACCACCTCAGAAATATGCAACTCAACAAAGGTTAGTAAGGTTCATGGAGTCTCCTGAAATCTTCAGTTCATCGGTATTATATCTACTTATTTAATCATTTGACCATTCTATTAAAACTTCGTCGTAGTTAGTAATAACAAGCCCATCAGTCTATGTAGCGGTTCATAATTTGCAATTTTTGAACAGGAGTTAAATTATTTATGATCCGTATTCTATCCTATGGATTCTAGCTATCTATCTAGCGGTGACAAAATAATGTTTCGTTTGTCTTCTTGGTAGGTACTCCCTCCATTCCAAAATTCTTGTCTTAGATTCGTCTAGCAATATAAAGGCTTAAAATTTGGTATCCAATAACATCGCACTGCGGTCCTCTATCCTTTACCTCAACATTCCTGTCAAGGAGGTAAATGCGATCCCAAATTCATGACCTCTCTTTATTTTTGAATTCTTGATCCTTTTTTCACCTTACTGAGACTCGTGGTCATTTTGATTATTGATGAATTTATGTTTGATTTAAAAAAAACCACTATCCATTAGAGATTTCTGCCATTGTTCGTTATCTGTGCAATTACTGATTTTGTTGGGAGAAACTTTGATATGTACTTCTATTAATGATTCACATGTCCTCTTTACATATTTCAAAAGTTTTTTCCTCCTAGTACTGAATGTCTACCGCCATACTACCAAGTGTCTTATTAGTGAAATCTATGGTTATCTGTTGTCTTACGTTTTTTCTATGGTCATCTCTCTTTTGTATGAGCTACTTTTATATCCTAAATAGTACTCCCTCCGTTCCAAAATAGATGACCCAACTTTGTACTAAAGTTAGTATAAAGTTGGGTCATCTATTTTGGAATGGAGGGAGTAACAAATATGTGTCAAACCGTTGCAAACAAAGATTGAATGGTGCATACAGATTTTCCAAACATGGTGATTTTTTTGGTATGTTCAAGGAGTCTTTTTGGCCAGTAAAATGATTTTTGTGGTTCTGGCCGTTTGTGGTACATCTAAACAAATAATTATATTCCAAGGTCTGGAGCGGTCTCTCTGCCACAACTTAGCATAGTAAAATGATTTCTATGTATGAAATTTGGTTACTTTGTAGTATAATAAACTTTGGATCTATTCAAGAGAAGTGAATTTTCTTCTTATGGGTCTGCGTATATATCTGCATAATACACCAATCTTGCTTAAACCGATTACATTCATATTTGTATTTTTAAAGTTAGCCAGAATTTTCCACATGTCATGTTGTACGTGTGCTTACTGTTGACATTTGTTAATTGTTGAAACATTGTAATGGGACTTTGCAGAATTATTGCCTTACTACAATTGTTTCCTTGGTCTGACAAGCTTCATGTAATTTGCAGGATCGAAAAAGTATAGAATAATTTTTTTGTATGATAGTCAATTTTTTATATTTTGCAACTGTGGTTTGTGTGACCTAAAATTCATTATACTTTTTTATCTATTATCTTCCCTCTAAGAATTCACTTCATGAATCTTTACAACATTACATACTAATATACCGGAGCAACGCGCGGGGTATCATCTAGTTTAACTAGGGCACGAGTTCATAGTTGAAATATGCAATTCTCACTTTTTTCGGGAGAAAACTTTCGATCTATTCATTTTCAATCATAACAGTACAACAAACATCAAAAATAATAAAAAGTACATCCAGATTTGTAGACATCTAGCGACGACGACACACACTGAAGCGAGCCGGGCAAAACTTGTTATAGTAGACAGTGTCATGCTAAGGCCTCATAAGACCAGCGCACCAGAACAACCATCACCACCGATGAAGAGCAGCATAGATCGGAAGGATCCAATCTGAAGACACACAAATGTAGACAAGCGAAGAACATATCCGAGCAAATTCATCAAAGATAGATCCGCCAGAGACACACTTCCACACACGCCCATCAACGATGCTAGATCTAGAGGACCCGCGCGCATAGATCCAACCGCAATTTCATGTGGCCATTCAACAGGAAAGAAGAAGAAGCAAGGTGGCCGGAGATGGAGGGGACTCACCGTGGCTCGCTGGTCGGATGCACGCGACGTTCTTCGCTTGGTGTGCTTCTTTCCTGAAGGGGCTCGAGCTGCAATTGCAGAGCACAGCGGCCACGCTAGTGGTGGATGGGCTGTTTAAGTGGCCGAGCAGCCAGAGAGAGAAGCAAAGCGCTCGATCGGCGTGGGGCTGCCCCAACACCCACTACGTGTCGAGCAGTCGCAGCGTGAGCTGCACACACACACGCACACGCACACACAGTTATGAGAGTCTGGTGCGGCGCGGTGCGGCGTGTAAACAAGCAAGCATGTGACGGTCTCTTCCCATGGCAATGACAAAGGGAAACTGCCGCAAAGTTGCCCCTACACCCTGTTTGGCAATGCAGTGGTGGGACGACGCCCACATGCATGCATGCCAGCTCTTTTTGATTAGCACTAGTGGCTGGGGCGCCACCTGATGGCGCCTCTTGAGGCGTTATTGTGCGCACTAACCAAGCTGATGTAGTTATTAACGTGTTGACAGTATAGATAAGCGAAATGGTTAAAAATATAACACCATCACCATCAATTATCAAGAAAAAACTCTGCTTCAATTAATTATAGTAACCGGCATGTCTTAGAAACAATTTTCTACAACAACACAACATATAACCAATTAAAAATGACAGAGGAGATGCAATGAAATGTAAGCCTATATGAATTCCTTCATAGGAATGTGTTGTTACTTATATGAATAGGAGAAGATCCAGAGCACAGCTGACAGGAAATATGATACGATCTCTCTCCTGGTGCCTTGCACAAGCAAGATATAAGATATTAAGCAATTTTACAAACACTTCATCTCTATAAATCCAACGAGTACTCTCTAGCATATATTTTGAAAAGAAGAGGTCTTGTTCATCATTCCACAAAACCTGCATATTAGTGTAGCAAGCAAAGACATGCAAAATATTTTATTAAGCTTTGAAGGCATGCAAAACATTTCCTCGTGGCGAAGAAGACGGTGTCCGGCCGGATCGGGTCATCGTCACGGGGGGTCATGTCGCCATCATCATGCCGGCCATGAAGACATGATTTTCTAAGAGAAATTACCTTAAGGTTTACTAATGAAAACATGACAAGAGAAGAACTAAAGATTAATTTAATTAACCTCTATGTTAGCTCTAAGCAATCTTGTTATATAGGTTAGCCCGTAGGTCGCACCGATACCTAAAGTTCTCGTATGTAGTTTGCAGAGGTGAAGGATTGAATAATTACGAAGTTGCGACAAAATGATTTAAATACCAAGAGTTTTAAAACAGAGGAAAGGTGGAAAGGGAAGCGACCTGATTGGTGCTCTTCAGGTAGAGATGAAAGACAAAAAGACCGCCAAAAAACCACACATAAATAAAATAGTAGATGATCAGAACCACTCGGCAGGTGTCTTCAACATTGCCCTCCAAATCGATGAATCCTCTGCATCTTTGATCTTAGTTATGTACACCCAGCAGAACCCAGACACGTAGAGGCAGAGTAGTGTGGTCGAGAATACAAACATATATAATAAACGATAATTACGCTGCACCAGAAAAGCTGGTAGTTAGCACCAAACATTGATTAATAGTTGCAATAGAGATTCATCATGCAGATTCGGATGACAATGAAATATATTAGACTATTAGGCATTAATATAGTTACCAGTCCTATGCATTGACCAACCCAAGGACAGTGATGATCAAAACGCTCCACACAGTTGTCATAGATAGAACAGTGAGAAGAACGAGGTGGCGGGTGCAGCATGTAGGTGTGGTAGTACTTGACCTTTACAACGGTTCCATTTACAATAACATCCTTTGTTCGTGGTAAGCGCAATTGTTGTGGAGTCTGACCATTTCCAGTATCATTGTTACGAGGCACCATACCAGGATCTCTACAGAGGTAAGAAGCAGCAGCGTCAAATCCTGGAAAATGAAAGGAACCAACTTCAGACGAGTATGAACACTACAACAGTGCATATTCATATGACCTGAGGAGAGGACAGAAGCATGAAAGATCACAAAATGTTTCACATGTATTCCCAAATAAGACTGTTGCTGAAACACATCCAAACTGCAGCTAATCAAGGGAAACAATAAAAGAATTTAAGCTGAGAAGAAGTAAAGATTAATTTAATTTACCTCTATGTCTGCTCCAAGCAATCTCTTTTGCACTTTAGCGCTTCATGCAAATAGCTTACAACAACAAGAACATTTCCGGTACCTTCTTCCATCATATCCACTTTTCAACAATTCAGCAAATGGCAGTCGGTTCCTAAATGATATTGTTCACAAAGTAAACCCGGGCATGCCAAGTCTACATTGATGGCGACTGCTTGCGAAGGATTAAGATTCTGCTATTAGTAAGTAGGTACAGTACACATCTTGTTATGCAAACAACATCTGTTATTAGATCCTTACAATCACACTTCATGCTTCTATTTTCTAAATTAAAATAACGACCACATTACAGCAAAAAAGAAACACACATATATCTAGCTCAATTACCAAAAACACATATTTCCTGCGACTTAACTCTGTTAACTATAAAATATCAATTCAGGTGCAAAGCTTATTACAATACAAATCCCACTGAATGGTCCCTACTGGAACAAAAAGAGATCACATGATGCATACAGAAGGGAAATGATTTTCAAAGTGTAACCTAATCAAGCGCCACAAAATACTATACTGCAAGGGAGACTTGACTCAATTGGGTTTGACACTCAGTTCAAAATGCAGTACCATTTCAGAGTTTTCGACAACAAGTTAACACTATTGGAGAACATCTCATGTGCCACATCTTCGTCAGATTATCTAGTTTGTAGTACATTCTGCTTAGATATTACAACAAAAAGAGCATAACAATGCCTTGGGCTCGATGATGTCGGATATGCAAAGCTTGAACAGCTGCATTGGACCGGAATGCCACTAATGTTGCCGCTTCCAGTAAGCCTCATATGACTCTGGTAGTTCGCATTGGCAGTGCCCATAGTAAGGCAAACACATCAGATCAATTGAACTGGTCAGCAGAATTATCAAACAAAATATTTATTCAGAAAAATTGCTCATATCAATACCTCGACGTTGTTCAGGACGAGCAGGACAAGCCATGTCCATGTCCTCCGCTGTTGTCCGTTCCATCCACCGGTGGGCAGGGATGAGCAGGACAAGCATCTGATGGCGATCTTGTTCTTTGCTTCCTCTTCGATCATGATCTCTTGGTCCCGGCAGTCGGCACTGCAGAATGCCTTCTCACCGATGCAATGGCACACAACAATTAGATCAGTATGCCTTTCTGTCTGAAGATGCATAGAAAGAAACAGTTGTTGTATCAAATAATGCAATTGGATGAATGATTTCACCGAAGCAATATGTTCAGTTGCTGTACAAAGAAATAATTGGATGAATGTTTCAAGTTTTCACAAGATTTCCTCCCCAAATGTATATGGGATGTTCCCAGGCGAACAACGCCACAATTATTTGTTGGATAAACTGTTTTCATTCAGGTGTAATCATCGGAGTATCTTCAAACTAAAACTCTGAAAGACTGAGCATAGTGATAGATGTAAATGCAGTTTCCTTGCAGCTTCTTCTTGCAAGTGAAGCAGGAGCTCAAGAATTCTACTTGGCACTAGAGTGAGCGCCATCCTGCCAAGCGGCCTCGGACCAGACTTCACATCCCCGTGCAGGAACTTGTTGAGGGCACCGACATGCCAGCGGTGGCCAGGCCGGGCTGGAGATCATCTTGCCCCCAAGCTTTGGCTAATGTAGCCTTCCCATTGATGCAAGGAATCAACTGTCCGCGTCAGCTCTAATACTGAAGGCCTGAAGCATCAAAATAGACACAGACATGTATCCTTCCCATTCGGCAAAGGAGACGCCACTGCTGATAATCCTTCTTCCCGAACATGGCGACATCGTGTTCGACGAGTTGAGTAGCTTGGCGACGACAGTGACCACTCCACGGAAGAAGACGGGACGGTTGCCCCACATAACCCCTTCTTCAGCCGCTCCACCCGTATCCACGCCTCATGCCTCCCGATCCCCTCTGGCTAGCATAGGCGAGGTTAGGGAAGAGGAGATAAGAAAGCACTAAGAAGAAGAAAAGACTGGGAGCTAACAGTGAGCAAATCCGCGGCGGCTTACCTCGACTTGCCATCCTCATCGACGTGTCCCTCTGCTGCGGCTTGTGGCAGTCCACCCTCGTCCGGTTGAGCGCCAACAAGGAAGAAGGAGCAGAGCCCAGGCGGGGGCTGGAGGAGGTGGAGCTCAGGACGGGACATGGAGAGGGGTGACCTGGAGCGAAGTGGGGGAGGGCGGCGGCGGCGGCGGCGGCCACGTTTTTCCTAACCCTAGCAAGGAGGGAGACGCTGGGTGTGAGGGGCGAAAGAGTCGCTGACCAATCCCGCAATTCGTGCGCTCGACCATATCTCTTTTTTTTCTTTATTCCCTCGGCACAGTAAATCGACGTGGCCCTTTGCGCGACTCTAAATGTGTGCGATATGCTGCATACGCTTTGCTCAAAAAAATATGCTGCATACGCATGTAATAACGCCCGCTTCGTGCACGGCGCGCACCAGCCACACCACTCCAACGACTGGCGGTGGCTCATATCCACATTTTGATCAGCTAGCTAGCACAATGATTAGACTGAATTACATTGATCAGTTGGATGAGTTACATTGTTGACGGTCATCGATTGAGTAATGCTACACCTACGGGCTGGTTGTTACGTATCCTACGTAATAGGAGCAAGTTTACGTAGGATACGTTTTTGAGGAGCTCATTCATCAACTTGTTTATCTTTGTTGGTAATGGGAGTTGGAGCTCCACCTACCACCAAAGACCTACACGGTTCAACTTGACCCTTGTCAAAAAAAAACATGATTGGTGACATGCATCTACCAAGGCATAAATCAACCATACCCTCTGTGGCAATGCAGTGGGGCACCGTTAATTTCTTAGCAGACGTACACACATGTGAATGAATGGACATGACAAACTAGCTAAACGTTGGGACGCTTAATTTCTTTGCAGTGGCCAGCCTCAGCACACGCACATATGCACATTGTACATGGAAGTAAAAAGCTACCTAACCAGCTCTTTTTGATTAGCTGCACAGGCACGACTTCATTGTTTGTGAGATTTAATTGTCCATGGAATAACGAAAATTTTGTATTACTCACACACCACGTAGTCAAAAAAATTGTAAGCTATTTACTGGAAGCTTATGATGAAAATTCTGAAATGTAGTTCTCCATGTCAGTAATACAAGTAATTTCCTGAAAAAACGTTCCAACTAACGTGTAGAATACTGCATACGCGTGTAATAACCACGGTTCGTGTACATTACACCAGCCAAACCACTCCAATGACTCGAGGTGGTCGTCCACTTTTTGAGCAGCAAGCTAGTACAATAATATTTCCATGGCTATGCGACATCAACGGTCACTAGCCAGCCTAGATGCCACAGTATGCATGCAAAACTACCCTCTAGCTGTCATCTTAGCCGGCAAACTAGACGGTGTGGAAAGTTCAGAATAGTGTCCTAACCGGTTTTGGAGTTGAGGTTGTAAATTAGACTAGGACATGAGTTCAAAGTTGAACTATGCACATCTCCCTTGAGTGAACTATATATGTCTAGCATGATGTAAAAAAAAGTTTAATGATGTAAAAAATATATATATGTCTAGCAAAAGATTACACATTTCGGATACCCATTAATTTGATGTGTTCCGGAAGGTGTAAGTTGTGGAACATTTCACAACTCTCTACATGATTGCTAAGACTTAAATATTTGACTCCACGACCAGACTGAAGAAACTTAATTTTCGAAGCTTTAAGGAGGATTGTTGTGTTTATTTTCTTTTTTTTTTTTATAAAACATCAACCTGATGTGGCTAGGCTAGCTCATATTCCATCTGTTAAGAAATATAAGAGCATTTAGATCACTACTCTAGTGATCTAAACAATTTTATATTTCTTTACCTAGGGAGTACATGTCAAATGTCAGGATGTGGATTCCAAATGGAAAATGGGCATTAAAAGAAGGACCTCATTTTGCACGAGGGAATTCCAAGCCATAGCGTCCCGTACATCCAACCGTGATTGCATGGTCACATGGGTCACTCAATCTAAGCCTAGAGGATACACCAGCAGATGCCGGAATGAATGAAAAAAAACATTTTTAACACCAGAAACAACTGCAGCAACAATTTCACCAACATAGCATATATAACTCATGTCTGACAATCACATAGAGAAAATTAAGGTCGAATACATCAAAGATAACCACAATCCATCCAGTCTAGTTATATAGCCAGCGAGCATTACCCAAATGGAGTAATATAATTAACTAGTAGACTCGATCTGGATATTAACACTGCACTAGATACGGCACTACTCCATCAATCGTCACAGCAGAATGAATGCATACTCTACGCTCTCATGAGTACCTGGTGAGCTGATCCACGAACATGATCAGAAGAAATAGGCCACGTACTGCATGCCCCACCCATCACCTCCCAAAAGGGCCCGGAAGCTGAGGAGGTCGCACACCACGATGAAGCAGAAGATGGCGGTGAAGTAGATCCGGCCGAAGATGTATCCTGGGTCGGCGGCGAGGAAGATCCAGACGGCACCGGCGTACATGCAATGGAAGAGGACGGTGACCGCGAGCCCGAGGTAGGCGAGGGTGTTAGAGTTTATGTTTATCTCCACATGTAATCTCAACCATATTCTATCTCTCTCCCGTAGTAGTTTGAATCTCTTTCCTGTAATCAAATCCTCTTCTTGTACGCCACGACGAGGGCTTCTTCTCGTCTCAATATATACAGACCACGCGGCTCCCTCGAGGAGTAGGAACGCTTCCATAATTCTTACATGGTAATCAGAGCATCCTCTTCCATATACATCTAGCCACAAAACCACACCCCAAAACACGCCGGCGTCGTCATCATGTCTTCATCAACAGGAGTCGCCCTCAACCTCAGCGCCCCTCCATCAGAGAAGCTTGCGAGAGGGAATTTCATCCTCTGGAAGACGCAAGTCTTGCCTGCCCTGCGAGGAGCGCAGGTGACAGGACTCTTGGACAATTCTGACGCTGCTCCACCCAAGACCGTGGAGATCACCAAGGCGGACAAGACTTCGGCCATGGAGCCGAACCCGCTATATGGGCCATGGATCGCAAAGGATCAACAGGTCCTCTCATATTTGCTAAACTCTATGACACCATAAATTCTTGGACAGGTTGTTGGGAAGGACTCCACCTTTGAGCTATGGACAACCGTGACAACTCTCTTCGCGTCCCAATCGCAGTCCAGGATCACAAACTTGAGGATTGCGATCACCACAACCAAGAAGGGCTCCATGTCAAGCTCTGCTTTCATGGCGAAGATGAAGAATCTTGCAGATGAACTAGCTGCTGCTGGCCGTCCAGTGTCAGATCCAAAGATGGTGGATTATATTCTGGCAGGACTAGACCGTGACTATGATCCAGTGGTTGCGGCGATTGGTGCTGTCAAGAATCAGATTACTCCGGATGATCTTTTTGCGCAAATCTCCGCCTTTGATCAGAGGATGGAGATGCTCGGCGATTCATCATCAGGCAGCTTCCACACTTCAGCTAATGCAGTGTACATAGGCCGTGGCCGTGGCAGATCCTACCGCGGGCGAGGAGGAAGGGGGCGCGGTCGCAGCGACCGACAGCCCTCTCCTACTGGTGGAGGCGGTGGCAACAGAGGACGTCCTCGACAACAACAGCAGCACGGGCGTGATCAACAACATGACTACCCTGAATGTCAGATTTTCCTTAAACATCATCCAGGGGGTGCACACTCATGCTGGTTCAGATATGAAGATGGCGATCAGGAGGAGAAGGCGGCACATGATGTCTCCTACTGTGGAGATACAAATTGGTATGCCGACACCGGAGCTACAAACCATATCACCGGTGAACTTGACAAGCTGACAATGCGGGAAAGGTACAATGAAGACAATCAAATTCACACGACAAGTGGTTCAGGTATGGAGATCACACATATTGGCAGCACAATTGTTAAAAACCCCGTGAAAAATTTACACTTAAAAGATGTCTTACATGTTCCTGAAACATCCAAAAATCTTATTTCTGTACATAGATTCACTCTTGACAACAATATTCTTATAGAGTTTTATCCTCACTTTTTCTTGGTTAAGGACCTAGCAACAAGGAGAATCATTCTTAGAGGACGGTGCGTGGGAGGCCTCTACCCACTCATATCATCTTCATCATCCTGGTTCAACAAACAAGCATATGTCGTCACCAAGCCATCTTCAGCAAAGTGGCATAGTCGTTTAGGTCATCCATCCTCAGTAATTGTTAGTTATATTCTTAGCAAAAATAAACTCTCATATGAGTCCAGTGTTGAGTCAGTTTGTGGTCCATGTCAACAGGCCAAAAGTCATCAGTTACCCTATCCTATTTCTACCAGTGTATCCAATGCTCCACTACAACTTATATTTTCAGATGTATGGGGACCAGCCCCCACTTCGCTTGGTAGATTTTCCTATTATGTTAGTTTCATTGATGACTATAGTAAATTTACTTGGATTTACTTGTTAAAGAAACGTTCTGATGTCTTCCAAGTTTTTATCAACTTTCAAAATCTTGTTGAACGCAAACTAAACTCTAAGATCATTGCTATGCAAACCGACTGGGGTGGTGAGTATGAGAAACTAAACTCCTTCTTTCAAAAACTTGGCATCTCACATCATGTCTCTTGCCCTCATGCTCACCAACAGAATGGATCAGCTGAAAGAAAGCATCGTCACATTGTCGATGTAGGACTTGCATTGTTAGCAAATGCATCTATGCCACTCAAGTTTTGGGATGAAGCCTTTTTAACTGCTACCTATCTCATCAACTTGCTTCCAAGCAAAGTCATTAAGCTTGAAACCCCCATCACACAGCTTCTTGGGGTAACACCTAATTACATATCTCTTCGTATCTTTGGTTGCGCATGTTGGCCAAATCTTCGACCCTACAACACACGAAAACTCGCTTTCCGCTCAAAACAATGTGTCTTCTTAGGCTATAGCCCTATGCATAAAGGGGTAAAATGCTTAGATGTTCCTACCGGTAGGGTCTACATATCCCGAGATGTTGTCTTTGATGAATCTGTGTTCCCTTTTGCATCGCTTCATCCAAATGCAGGTGCTCTTCTTCGCAAGGAAATTCTCCTTCTCCCATCAAATCTTCAAAATTTTGACAACGGGGATGACAATTGTACTAACCAATATGCTGATGATTCTGCTGTGCCTAGTTCCACTATTATGCCTGTGCAGGTTGCTGGCGAAAACGGTGGTCAAAACAATCAAAATCCTGAAAATTTGGTTCAAAACGAGGTGTTATTTCATGCTCCAGAAGGGGACGAAGCTGGCGCAGATCCCGGAGCTGATTTGGCGGCGCCTGCCACCCCTGCGCGTCTGCAGGCGTCGCATCCCGTCGCCGCATCTTCCTTGGATCCCGCTCCAGGAGACAGCGGGCCAGGCTTCGGGACCAGCCTCTCCCACGCTGCCACGTCACCCGACCGCTGGGTCAGCCGCGTAGGCGGATCGGCCTCGCATCCCGCGCACATGCAACTGCAGGCGGGTGGTGGATCTTCTGCGCCCAACAGCCATGCGGGTTCCCGAGCGTCCAGTGGCCAGGGGGGCACATCGTGGACCACTAGATCTTCTCTGCACCCTGGCGCATCATCACCTGATGGGTCAGCTGCTGGTGGATCTTCTGCGGATTCTGTGCACCCTGGCGCATCATCACCTGATGGGTCAGCTGCTGGTGGATCTTCTGCGGATTCTGTGCATTCGCCTGTACAGCAGCCAGCAGCAGTTGCTTCTCGAGTCATGACCAGGCTACAGAAAGGTATACGCAATCCGAAAATAAGGAAAGATGACACTATACCATATGGCATGTTATGTATTTCAGGAGAACCAACAACATTAAAAGATGCACTTGGTGACTCTAAGTGGAGAAAAGCAATGGATGAGGAGTATTCTGCACTGATGAGAAATAAGACTTGGCGTCTTGTGCCTGATCAAAGAGGTAAAAATATTATTGACTGTAAATGGGTGTACAGGATCAAAAAAAAGGCAGATGGCTCCATTGACAGATATAAGGCACGTCTAGTTGCAAAGGGGTTTAAACAACGGTATGGCATAGACTATGAGGATATGTTCAGTCCCGTTGTCAAAGCTGCAACCATAAGATTTGTGTTGGCTATTGCTGTGTCCAAAGGATGGAGCCTAAGACAGCTAGATGTACAGAACGCGTTTTTGCATGGTGTTCTTGAAGAGGAGGTGTTCATGAGACAACCACCTGGGTATGAAAATAAGAAAACACCACATTATGTGTGCAAACTTGACAAGGCACTCTATGGCTTGAAACAAGCACCTAGAGCATGGTATTCCAGGTTGAGCTCACAATTAAAATGTCTTGGCTTTATTGCTTCCAAAGCTGATACATCTCTGTTTATTTATAACAAGGCAAAAGTAGCAATTTTTGTGCTCATTTATGTAGATGATATTATAGTGGCATGTTCATCACAAAGTGCTACTAATGCTCTCCTGCATGATTTGAGCTCAGAGTTTGCTTTGAAGGATCTGGGAGACTTGCACTTCTTTCTAGGCATTGAAGTCAAGAAGACTCAAGATGGCATAGTGTTAAGTCAAGAGAAATATGTGAATGAGCTTCTATCTCGCATGGGGATGACAAACTGCAAGCCTGTGCCCACACCTTTGTCTTCTTCAGAGAAATTGTCAGCATATGAAGGGAAGTCACTTCAGGAGGAAGATAGTACAAGGTATAGAAGTACTGTTGGTGCATTACAATACCTGACACTCACTCGTCCAGATATCTCTTTTGCGGTTAATAAGGTTTGCCAATACCTCCATGCACCCACTACTGCACACTGGTCAGCTGTCAAGAGAATTGTAAGATATGTCAAGCATACTATGGGAATAGGACTTCATTTCAGACGTTCTAATTCTGCTCTTGTTAGTGCTTTCTCTGATGCTGACTGGGCAGGTTGCAGTGATGACAGAAAATCAACTGGAGGCTTTGCAGTATTTTTTGGTCCTAATCTTGTGTCATGGAGTGCCAGGAAACAGGCTTCTGTGTCTAGGTCAAGTACAGAAGCTGAGTACAAGTCATTGGCCAATGCACTGCAGAGATTATTTGGATTGAGTCGTTATTGGATGAGATGGGAGTTAAACAGAACCGTATATCATGTTTATGGTGTGACAACTTGGGAGCAACTTATTTGTCTGCCAACCCTGTGTTTCATGCAAGGACTAAGCATATAGAGATTGACTTTCATTTTGTGCGAGAAAGGGTGGCAGCAAAAAAAGTTGAGATACGGTTCATCCCTTCCAAAGATCAAGTGGCAGATGGGTTCACCAAAGCACTTCCAGCAAAACTATTTGAAGAGTTCAAGAGGAATTTGAATGTAGGATAGTTGAGATTAAGGGAGGGTGTTAGAGTTTATGTTTATCTCCACATGTAATCTCAACCATATTCTATCTCTCTCCCGTAGTAGTTTGAATCTCTTTCCTGTAATCAAATCCTCTTCTTGTACACCACGATGAGGGCTTCTTCTCGTCTCAATATATACAGACCACGCGGCTCCACTAGTGCAGAACCGGATAATAGCACCGGTTCGTAAGGCCCTTTAGTGTCGGTTCCATAACCGGCACTAAAGTGTGGACACTAAAGCCCCCCCCCCCACTATAGTACTTGTTCAGCACGAACCGGTGCTAAAGGGCAACCACGAGGCACGAGCCAGCTCCGGGGGCCTGGAGCCCTTTAGTATCGGTTGGTAAGACCAACCGGTACTATAAGGTTTGGGGTTTTTTAGTTTTATGATTTCTTTTTCATTTAATTTTGTGTTTCCATTTTAATTCTTTTTCATTTGCTGGTATTTTACGATACTACACATTGTACACGTTATGCATATATATATATAAATAAAATTTCTAGTAGAACCAATCATGCATATATATATATCATCAATGTCTCACAAACCACCATATTAATTAATTCACACATACACACATGTATAGCTATATACAATTTCTCCTACATATGCATGTTGCCTTCGGAGCCAGTGACATTAGCCTAATTGGTGCCTTCGGAGCACGATGACAATTGAAAGTGGTTCTCATGGGGGCGGTAGCGGGTAATAGTATTCTCCCTTCGGATTTATGACCTGGTCGAGCAAAAATCCCGCTATTTCCTCTTGAAGTGCTTCTACGCGCTCCGTTTCTAGGAGCTTCTCCCGCACCTCTCTGAACTGTTAAGAAGGAGATCAATATGCATGTGTATTAGTTGTGTGACTAGATATCGATAATGGTGTAAAAATTGTGAATAGTGTTCTGACAAGCGTACCCATTCCTGTCTTTGAGATCTGCTCCTTTCGGACGCCATCATGCGAATGTTCTCGCAAACGCAGAATGCACACAGATCAGTCCCCTGCGCCTGCTTCAGGGCCTTTACGAGAATGGAATTTGATCAGATAACAATTAATCAAGCATGATAATTAAAGAGATGGCAGCTAGCTAGCTAGCTAGTACTACTTAATTACTTACCTTGGGTCGAAACCATTTAAGCTTTTTTTTTCATTCGTCTTCCGTGACGCTGATGAACCTTGCCCAAGCCCTGCCCGCCGACAAAGAAAATGAATAAAGGGGTTATTAAATAGTTCATATCATGAAATGACGAACTAAATAGGCCGAGATATATAGTTAATAATGATTGAAATTACCTGTTGACTATCCCAAACAAGATGTTATAGTCAATATTTTTTTTGAGTAGTGAGTCCAGTATTTCAACTGTTCCGGTGTCAACTTTAATGATACACAAGATCCAGTGAAATCTGCATGCACACACGTTTGCATGTCTTAATTAAGCAGACATATGTAAGCAAAAACATGTAGCTAGCTAGTAGGCAAAAACAGAGAATTTGTAGTACAAGACAGTGTGACTCACTGGAAGTTGTAAGGAAGTAGTATATTTTCATTGTATTTGAGGCGCTTCAAGAACTCTAGCATGTTGTCCTCTACGTTCTTTTGATGATATGGATTTATTAGCCATGTGTATTCATTAACGGTGTTTGGGTCAATGAACCCAATGTCAAAGCGTCCACCTTTTCTCATTTCATACATCTTCATCCTGCATAATACCACAGAAAATAATATAGTGAGGATAATTACAGATAATGATTGATCAAAAGGATCACTACAGCTAGCTTGAGACTTAAATTACAGAAAAAAATCACTTACAGACAATAGCAACTGACGATAGATTTGTCAAGTGCGTCTTGATTGTATAACAGAAAGAAATCACTTACATCCTGCCACCACTTTTTTTAGTACCGGTTCGTGGCACGAACCGGTGCTAAAGGTTTGCCACGAACCGGTACTAAAGAGCTCCTCCCGCCTAGCCGTTGGAATCGGCACTAATGAACATATTAGTGCCGGTTCTGTTACAAACCGGGACTAATGTGTCTCACATTTGACCCTTTTTCTACTAGTGCTCCCTCGAGGAGTAGGAACGCTTCCATAATTCTTACAGAGGGCTCGGCGGGCCGAGCGACGACGGCATGGGAGCAGCAGCGCCAGCGCCGCTGCGACCGCCTGCAATGGGGCGCAGGACAGAATCCCGATGCAGAGGGCGATTACCCTGGCTTCCTCCGCGCTCGTCAGCTCGATGCACGGCAGAATGAAGGAGGACTGCAGTGCAGAGGGCGCATGATGGATCGGTCGAAATGTCAAGGATCGGAGGGTAGTACACGGGTAGGTGGTTACCTGGCTGCACGAGACGGGGATGTAGTCGGCGGCTACGTAGCTGACTGCTGTGCTGAAGGTGTTGATGAGCGCCCATGCGCAGACCAGCGGGACGCCATCGCGGATCTTCTTCTTGGCCGCGCTCAGAGGCAGCAGATCAGGGGTCTTGCCGTCCATGGACATCGATCCAAGCTAGGTAGGAGTAGCAGTAGGAGGAGATCACGAGATCAGCAACAACTTATGGTTAGGTTCCTCTTCTCTAATTTCATGTCCCCATTCAACATGAAAGAAGAAGAAGAAGAAGAGGAAGAAAAAAAAACCATAGCAAGACGGCCGCAGATGGAGGGGACTCACCGAGTCACCGTCACTCGCTGGTCAGATGCACGGGAGGGAGGTTCTTCCTAGCTTGCTAGCTTGCTGTGCTTCCTTCTGAAGGGGCTCCAGCTACAAGCCTACAACTACAGAGCGCAACGACCACGCTGGTGGTGGAGCGGCTCCTGTTTAAGTGCCCGAGCCGCGAGGAGCGCAGCAGCAGCGAGAGAGAAGCAAAGCAACTCGATCGGCGTGGGCCTGCCTCAACACCCACTACGTGTCGAGCAGCCGCGGCCTGAGCTGCACACACACACGCGCGCGCACACACACAGAGGGAGGAGAGTCCGGTTCATCTCATGGCAATGGCAGTGAGAAAGGAAACTACCGCGAAGTTGCGTCCGCGAAGCACCCATACCCTCTTTGGCAACGAGGTGGCACACTCAGTTTCTTTGCAGGTTGACAAAAACGTGAATGAACGTAGCACGCGCACATGCATACAGGGCAGTGAAAAGCTAGCTAGCCTGCTCTTTCGAATTAGCTGCACGGTCAGTTTAAGTTTCAAACTAGTGCGATTTCTAGTAGCTACTCCCTCCGTTCCAAATTACTCGTCGTGGTTTTAGTTTAATTTAAACTAAAACCACGACAGCATACTGCATACGCATGTAATAATACCCAAGGTTTTGGATCCCAAATAGACAAATTTTCTCGTGGGTGGGCGATATTCCCGGTAACCACGGTTACCGTTACCGAGAAATACCGAACAAATTTCGGACGAAATTTACTATTGAATTTTGAATTCAAACAATTTTAACTTAGATATAATAATACCTTGAACTGATTCAAGTCAGAAAAGAGATACTAGCTCAGTGGTACTCCCTCCATTTTTATATACAAGGCCACTATGAAATATACCTTTTGAGAACAGAAAAAAGTGCGGGAAGAGGACTCGAACCAGCTACCTCTCAAGGCGCATAACAGATGGTTACCACTACGCCAGAGTAAAGGCGTTGTCTCAAATGAGAACCAAAGGTAATTTATTAGATTTGTAGCGTTCAAATTTAATTTATTCAAAAATTTCGGTATTTTTTGCTCGGGATAGGTATTTCTCGTGGGGCGGCGAGAAACGCGGTAACCGCCCGGTATCCGTTTTTCTCGGGCGGTACCCAAAACCATGATAATACCCTGGTGTTCTGCATGGTGCACCAGCCACACCGTGCCACTCCGACGACTGGCGGTGGTTTATCCACATTTTCGATAAATGGTGGATTTTATTTGCTTTAAATGGAGCATCAAAATTATACAAAACATAATGAGCACATACCCGATCTCTACATAGCTAAGATGCACACAACCATTACAAACATACAAAAACACACACACACACCCACTAATAGTAAAATCATACAATACCAAAACTATGCATAGGCTAGGAAAAAAACCAAAGAAATCCGATCCGTGATCTGCAAACTACATAAATTATCATATCCGCACCAACCACCTCATGACATCACACCAACGACGAGATTCTTCAACAACAACGCCTTTACGACGGAAGCGACGCTTAAGCGTCGCCGTCACCGCATCCAACCACACGAGGTCGGAATCTAGATTTTCACCCTAAAGAACCAATCCGAGCATATCCGAGCAATGCCTTCAACAAGTTAACGACATAAAACATAGCCATTGCCAGGTATATCCAGCACGGAAACCTAGGCGTTCACCCGGAACTCATGACCAGGTGCTTGCATAGAACCGTCAGCGCACGCAGGGAAAAACACCCAGGAGATAACGGCGAGGCCTTTTGCTAGTCCACGCACATCGCATCCCGACCACCATGTATCCCCAGTGACCACGACATGCAGTCCCCACGGAGATAACGAAAATGCGTGGCCCCCGCCACCACAACCATGCCCCCAATCATCAACACCGCCTTGAGCCCAACCCCCCTCCGTTCGCACCGCACACATGGAGAAATGCCGGGAAATACTAGCAATCGTCGGGCACCTCGTCGGGAGAGCCTTAGTTACGACGAGAGAGGATGTCTCTGCAAGTGGGAGGAGGGATATGAGAGACTGGTGAAGATAGAGCGGGTAAGGGATACACTAGCTAAGGTCGCTCACTGCAATTGGTGCCTACATGAACAAATCTGTGAAGCTGATGTCGCTTCAAGATCGTGCCAAGGTCCGTGAGACGAGATTGAACTGTAGGGGAGTGGTTCATTGGAAAGTGCAAAAATGTGAACAGATGCCAGATGACATTTCCCCAAGAAAACCATGACACATATTAGGTGATTCCATGCCGCGTGTGGGCCAAATGATCTTTAACACTTAAGGTGCAGAATATAAGCCATCCCTTACGCGGCACCTATGTGCTATTTTGTCAGTTATCAAGTGGGCCGGCCTAATAAAGGCTCTCGATCGATCACGATCGCACCCCCCGCACATGTAATTCTAGCTAAATGTTCTTTGAAACTTTCAGAAGCTTCTTTTCTCAGTTTTCAGAAGCTTCCACACTGATTTTCCCTTTTTTTTCTCTCTTTATGCTTGGTTTTTTCTCATGTTTTTTTGTTCATTTTTTCTTTGGTTTCTACTTGGTTTTTCTATTTCTTTTTTCCTTTCTTCTTTTCTCTTTTAAAATTGCATTAACATTTTTAAAAAAATTATGATTATTTTTTAAAATTGCAACCAATATTTGAGTTTTTTGTTAATCATCTACTTGAATTTATTTGAACATGTATAAATCTTTTTCCTGTTGTATTAAAAAATGTACAACATGCACGAAAAAAATGTACAACATACAATGGCCCAGTGCACATGGGCCCTTTCAGATGATGACTTGGTAGTAACAATGACAGAGAACAGACAACCAGTTGCAAAAAATTGGATATTTGATTTAAATGAGGAGCTCAGTCATCATCAGTTCACTAGGATGGTGGTTACACTTTGGGCGATCTGGTATGCGATAAGGAAGGCAGTACATGAATCAATATTCCAAAGCCCCAAAAACTAATGCTTTTGTGGAATCTTATCTGCATGATTTGTCCGTGTGTGAGACGCCAAGGCAGGTTAGACCGACTGAGGGACAACAGGGGAATATGGTGCAGCGATGGCTTCCTCCTCCAGGGAATATGGTCAAACTCAATGCAGACGGTGCGGTTGCCCTTGATGGTCTGCGGGGAGTAGCAGCGGCAATCTGTCGTGACCAACCAGGAAACTACCACTAGTGCAGAACCGGGCAATAGCACCGGTTCGTAAGGCCCTTTAGTGCCGGTTCCATAACCGGCACTAAAGTGTGGGCACTAAAGCCCCCCCCTTTAGTACCGGTTCAGCACGAACCGGTGGTAAAGGGCAACCAGGTGGCACGAGCCAGCTCCGGGGGCCTCGAGCCCTTTAGTACCGGTTGGTAATACCAACCGATACTATAAGGTTTGTGGGATTTTTAGTTTTATGATTTTTTTCATTTAATTTTGTATTTTCATTTTAATTCTTTTTCGTTTGCTGGTATTTTACGATACTACATATTGTACACGTTATGCATATATATATATATATATATATATATATATATATATATATATAATTTCTAGTAGAACCAATCATGCATATATATATCATCAATGTCTCACAAACCACCATATTAATTAATTCACACATACACAAATGTATAGCTATATACAATTTCTCCTACATATGCATGTTGCCTTCGGAGCCAGTGGCATTAGCCTAATTGGTGCCTTCGGAGCACGATGACAATTGGAAATGGTTTTCATGGGGGCGGTAGCGGGTAATAGTATTCTCCCTTCGGATTTATGACCTGGTCGAGCAAAAATCCCGCTATTTCCTCTTGAAGTGCTTCTACGCGCTCCGTTTCTAGGAGCTTCTCCCGCACCTCTCTGAACTGTTAAGAAGGAGATCAATATGCATGTGTATTAGTTGTGTGACTAGATATCGATAATGGTGTAAAAATTGTGAATAGTGTTTTGACAAGCGTACCCATTCCTGTCTTTGATATCTGCTCCATTCGGACGCCATCATGCGAATGTTCTCGCAAACGCAGAATGCATACAGATCAGCCCCTGCGCCTGCTTCAGGGCCTTTACGAGAACGGAACTTGATCAGATAATAATTAATCAAGCCTGATAATTAAAGAGATGGCAGCTAGCTAGCTAGCTAGTACTACTTAATTACTTACCTTGGGTCGAAACAATTGAAGCTTTTTTTTCCATTCGCCATCCGTGACGCTAATGAACCTTGCCCAAGCCCTACCCGCCGACAAAGAAAATGAATAAAGGGGTTATTAAATAGTTCATATCATGAAATGACGAACTAAATAGGCCGATATATATAGTTAATAATGATTGAAATTACCTGTTGACTATCCCAAACAAGATGTTATAGTCAGTTTTAACTTTGAGTAGTGAGTCCGGTATTTCAACCGTTCCGGCGTCAACTTTAATGATACACAAGATCCAGTGAAATCTGCATGCACACACGTTTGCATGTCTTAATTAAGCGGGCATATGTAAGCAAAAACATGTAGCTAGCTAGTAGGCAAAAACAGAGAATTTGTAGTACAAGACAGTGTGACTCACTGGAAGTTGTAAGGAAGTAGTATATTTTCATTGTATTTGAGGCGCTTCAAGAACTCTAGCATGTTGTCCTCTACGTCATTTTGATGATGTGGATTTATCTGCCATGTGTATTCATTAACGGTGTTTGGGTCAATGAACCCAATGTCATAGCATCCACCTTTTCTCATTTTATACATCTTCATCATGCATAATACCACAGAAAAGAATATAGTGAGGATAATTACAGGTAATGATTGATCAAAAGGATCACTACAGCTAGCTTGAGACTTAAATTACAGAA